CCTGACCTGCAATCATGAGGTCTGCCCACCTTTATCTGGTACCTTCTACAGCCTGACCTGCAATCATGAGGTCTGCCCACCTTTATCTGGTACCTTCTACAGCCTGACCTGCAATCATGAGGTCTGCCCAGCTTTATCTGGTACCTTCTACAGCCTGACCTGCAATCATGAGGTCTGCTCCCCTTTATCTGGTACCTTCTACAGCCTGACCTGCAATCATGAGGTCTGCTACCCTTTATCTGGTACCTTCTACAGCCTGACCTGCAATCATGAGGTCTGCCCCCCTTTATCTGGTACCTTCTATAGCCTGACCTGCAATCATGAGGTCTATCCACCAATAACAGCGCTGTTTTCCTGCCTCTGATTTCTTTGATCTCACCTGTTTGGACAGATACTGGCTGATCTGGTTCCGACTCTTGTCCACATGTCTGGATATGATGGTCAGGGCAGAAAGGCTGACTTCCAGGTTCTCCATTATCGGTACCGGTACCGGTCCAGTTCCGATCGCTTTATAAACAGCTAATCGATTCACAGGAACCCGCGCGGGTCATAGCGAGTTCCAGTAACACAAACACGTTTCAAGCACTGCAGTTAAAATCCACATGTGAGGTGAGCGGTGACAGTTTCCGCTCCCTCTGTCGCGCCTTGATGACGCACCGGAAGCAGGCTCCCCTCAGACCGAGCAGCAGCAGCAGCAGCAGCAGCAGCAGCCTGTTCTCCTCCTGCAGCCTTTCTGCTCTCCGCTCCTGTCTGTTGGCTGAAAATGTCAAACACCGGAGAGCTGCGGGACTCTGGGAGCAGCTGAACCTTTCTACCCGGACCTTTGCTTTGAGGGAGGGGGAGTTTATTCCTGTTCAAACCAGTTTGAGGACGGAGGCAGTCACCGCTGAAACGGAGGCAGACCGCGGGAAAATGTCCTTACTTCCTGTCTGATGAAGTCTTGGCGCGACTTTGGGTTTGGAGACATAAACAAAAGCAATAAAAGAACTGAGCAAAGTAAGTAAAAACATTTCAGTGTTTAGTTTGTTTTCTCTCCAGTTTAAGAAGCTGCGCAGAAAGCGGCTCTTTGTTTGTTCTCTAACGATCTATAAACATTTCCAGGTATAGTTCACATGTTTGATGTTCAGGAAATGTTCAAGTTCCTGACCTGGTAACCATAGCAACAGCTGTTTTTCACCTGCATTCAGCTCCACATCTACTGTGACTGCTGATTGGTCATGGTAATGAAGGAAGCAGACCCTCCACCAAACCACTGCCACCTGAACACCCAGTCTGAAACAGCTCTGCTCAAAGTCAGCAGTGATATTCTCAGATTATGGACCTGGATCTGTACATGTATCAATTCTATTCAGTTTATTTCTATAGCACCAATTCACAGCACAGTTCACCAGATCATCCAGTCACATTGATTCAAAGTTTTCTATCTAAGGAGAGCCAGTTGATCGCATCGACTCATTGACCCTTCAGCAATCCCTCACACTAAGCATGCTTGAAGCGACGATGGAGAGGAAAAACTCTCTTTTAACAGGAAGAAACCTCCAGCAGAATCAGGCTCAGTGTGAGCGGCCATCTGCTGAGGCTGACTGGGGTTCAAGGAGACAGAAGCAGACATAGAAAAAGCAGCATAGATAGAAATGGATAGATGTAAACATATTAGTAATTAATGACATGTGACCCATGACTCCATCCCTGTTTATTCAGCACAGATCTACATTGGCTGCTGGGCGATTTGTTGGTAGGAGAGAAAAACATGTTCAGTGGTTGTTAAAGGTGTCACATTGCAAAAAAATGTAAATCTAAAAAAGTTATTTTTTTTCTTAAACTAAGTGCATTTGTTCTTGAATTGAGGTAAGTGAGACACTTTGACAATATAACAAGACACTTTACATTTAAAACAAGAAAATGCATTAAGTGCATATTATCTTATTTTAAGAGTAAAATACTCATTCCATTGGCAGATAATCTTATTTACCTACTGAAATTAAGCCTAAATACACCTGATTTAAGACATTTTCTACTTATCTCTAGATAGTTTTTGCAGTGAATAATGTATTTTCTATTAATAGCAAATACAGAAATGAATAACTTTAGATTCTGTGATTTTTCCTTTCGGTTTTCTGAAAAACAAAACAAAAGCTAACAGCTTTTAAAAAATACTTTAAGGAAACATTTCAGCCAATTCAATACCAACCAATATCTTTATCTGTGAAGATTCTGGATCTTCCAGGTGATGTTCAAGCTGAAAAGGTCCAGTTTAGGCAGCTGGATTTGAGGTTTGGCCTCCGGTGGCTCTGATCCCTCCC